CTACACCTTGTTATTGCAATAAGTCTTTTCCATTTTTTTTTCTGTAACTGACCACTGAAGTAGTGAAAACTGTTCACGTGAACTTAAATGACGGTCTCTCCTAGGAGATGCATGAAATTTGCGCTGGTTGCATCCTCCTGCTTCCTAACATTGAATCTTTAGTACTAAAAATTGAAAACCTTGTTACTTGTAACTTTGCGCTCTTTGTGGTTCTGAAAGATAACAGCCCAATTATAACACATCAGGCTACTTGGAGCTCCTCACTCCAGAGTAGTTTGCTTAAGTGACAATCACATTATTGTCTGATTTGTTTTCTGCATTCTATTTAAAGTAAAACATTTCAAAGTATGCAAACTCTACACTTGCTAGTACATAAATTGCAGTGTAGACTTTCAAATGTTTACTCTCTCACTCTTACTCCAGTGAGGCTGGATATCCAGTAGAGCTCAAGAGAGCAAGGTGAAGGCACCGTCCTAACTCCTTGTACGTTGAGGTAATGTAGCGATAATCTGCCTTCATGGTTCAGTGTTCCTCTTGTGACGTAATTCAGCAGCGATAGTGTCAGACATCTGAATTGACTAAAGTTCCCCTCCAAACCCTGACTGTCCTGACTTGGAAATATATTCGTGTTCCTTCAATGTCACTGGGTTAAAAACAAAAGTTGCTGGAAAAGTGCAGTAGGTCTGGCAGGATCTGAGAGGGGGAAAAAATATCAGTTAACATTTCGGGTCCAGTGGCCCTTCCTCAGAACAGAGGATTCTGGGTTAAAACCCTGGAACTCTCTCCTTAATTGCATTGTGGGTATATCTGCCCCAAATGGCCTGCAGCAATCCAAGAACTAGCTCACCACCTTCTCAAGGGCATTTGGGGCTGGCTCAGTCAGCAACACCTACGTCCCATCAATGGATTTTAAAAAAAAAAAAAAAAAATGTTTGAGTGAAGTTTTTAATCTTTCAGCATTCGAGCTAACTTTGATATTTTCCTTCTACCATGTCACAGAGAATGAGGAAACAGAAGGTAGTGATGTGCCGACTGACTACTTGTTTGGCGATGTGGAAGGAGATGAAGATGACCTCTACATGGTGGACCACGAAAATGCTCCTGGTGAGCATTTATTCACGTACTGGAGAGAATCTGTCATTGTTACCAAATGGATAGTGAAAACTAATGGTGTTAAGTTTCCTAACCACAAGGTGACTCCTGTGGTGAAGATGGAGATCTGACATTAAGCAGCTGTTCTGTGCAAACAATAGTTGGGCCCTTCCAGGGGTCAAGTGATCAGATTTGACTAAAGAAAACTAGTGGGAGCTGAGACAAATACACCGACAAAGGTCTCAGTTGGTAATAGTCTATTTGGCTCGATTCTCACGAGATGTCTGGTATTAGGAAAAACACCATTTCCTTATGTTTAAAATGAGTGCAGTCTACTGGTTTTATTAAAAGCTCTTCTCCAAGAAGACCTAACCAACAGCAGCGGTGCATTAGTGACTTGTGCTAAACAAAGCTTCTGTCACTGATGTAGGCTTTTCTTCTTTTGAAGCTGTGCGGAATGTGATATACCCATGAATGCCTCCACATACCCCCTTTCTCTCTTTTTCCACACCCTCCCCCAAAAATGAACTGAAGGCAGTGACTCATGCGATTTGCATGTTCTAACATCTTTGCATACTGCGCTGCATTAGTTACTTGCTTGCAGAGATTCTGAATATATGATTTAAAAGTTTGTGCCTGAACTTGTATCTGGTTGGTAATGTTGGGTATGCAAATTAAGGTATTAAGTACCCAACTCGTGCTGCATGTATTAAAATTAATCTGTTCACAGACTTTATTACCAACGTTTAAAGCAGGTGGGAGCTCAACCTGGGTCTCCTGCCCCAGAGATAGGGACACTACCACTGTGCCACAAGAGCCCTTATGCTCAGAGTGACAGTAAACTGGGACCTATGTTACAAATGTTAGTGAACAGCTTCCTATAGGTCATCCATAACAATCTGGATAAGCATATACATGCAAAACAAAAGTATGGCCAAGTCCTTTCTCTCTTTATGTCTCTCTGTCAAAAGTGTAGCTGTAATGGGTTAAGACTTTATTTTTTAAAAACGGGCCTAGTTTTCACACCCCACATTCATTCCTAAAGATGTCTCTTTACTGGAGGAAGGTTTTTAAACACCTTGTTGTTGCCTGGTCCCAACTGATGGTGAACTAAAGTAAAATAGAGCAAATGTCTTTATTTCAGATCTCCAAAAAGCCCTGTAGAAACTCAGCAGGTCTGGCAATACCAGTGGCAAGTCAAACAGTTGACAGTTGAGCCCAAGACTTTTTTTTGGAATGTCTTCCAAAGGTCTATTGGACTGAACGTCAGTTCTACTTTTTTTCACCACAGCTGAGAGGTAGGAGAATTGTAGGAAGGGGACAAATTGGCCATGATCAACCAAGGAACTTAAGGACAGTATTTTTTTTCTATTTCAATGTGGCAAAAGTTTATGGTAAGCCAGAGAGCTTTAACATTAAAAGTTAACCCAAAAAATAGAGGAAAACAAACGAGGATAAATGGACATTAACAGGCCAAAGTGTGTATAGGTCCCTTAGAGATTGAAGCTGAGGTTATAATACTGGGGAAGCAGGAAATAAAGGAGCTGAATAAAGATTTTTGCATCAATTTTCACTAGTCAATACTAGCATTCCAACAATAAATCAAAGAGCAGAAGGGGGAAGAGGAAATAAATAGTATCACTAGAGGAAGAAAATGGGGCTGGAGGTGAAAGTCAGCACGGTGGCTCAGTAGTTAGTACTGCTGCCTCACAGTGCCAGGGACCTGGGTTTGATTCCACCTGTGGGCGACTCCCCGTGTGTGCAGGTTAGGTGGATTGAGCATGGTCAATTGCCCATAGTGTCGAGGAATACGCAGGCTAGTTGGATTAGCCACAGGAAATGCAGGGTTTACAGGGATAGGGTTAGGGGGTGGGTTGGGGGGGCTGAATGGCCTGCTTCCATACTAGAGATTCTGAGATTTCCCCTGGACCTAATAGGTTGCATCCTAGAACATTAAAGGAAATGCCTAGAGTGGATATACTGGTAGTAATCTTCCAAGAATTCTAGATTTTGGAAGAGTCCCAGAGGATTGGAAAACTGCCAATGTAACACCTTTATTCCAAAAAGGAAGACTACATTAAACAAAACTATTGGCAAGTTAGCGTAACACATGGAAATATGGAATATGTTTAATTTTGTTTTTATATTTTGTTTTCCCTGTTAGCAGAGGAACATGAATACATTTTGCCTCAGGAAGCATTTCAACTGCGTCATGAAATTATAGATAATCCTTCAGCCCCAGACCATCTCCAGGACAAAATGGAATCTCCACATGTCAGTGGCAATGAAGCAGAGACTGTATGTTTGACCCCAATTGAATCCTTTTCCCTCATGTCAATCTCCCAGCCCCTGTATGATGCCTATCTGCCTGCTGATTATTTTAATTCCCTTGTGAAAGACATGTTACATTACTATGCAGAGCAGGGAGATGTGCAGATGGCTGTATCCGTTCTCATTGTACTTGGGGACCGTATACGGAAAGAAATTGATGAACAGACACAGGTAAGCGAATGATGGAATGAAGTCTATTTTCTGATCATGGATGTGGCTGAATTTTGACTTAAATATATTTAGGATTTGGGAATAGAGGTCACAATAATTATGTTACTTTTGCGTTTATGATAGGGCTATTTTTCTTCATAATTGACTAAGAAATTTCTCAATTGGGAGCCCTAACCTATACATACACCATTCGTACCCTGCATTCTTACCTAGTACTTATGACAGGCTCCCTTTCATATGATGCTTTCAATTCACAAGCTTCACTTTTTGCAGAACTCTCTGGGTTTTACAAGGATGGTGCCAAGATTGGAGGGTTTGAGCATTCGGGAGAGGCTGAATAGACTTGGGGCCTTTTATCTCCCTGGAGTGTCAGAGGGTGAGGGGTGACCTTATGTAAGTTCATAAAATCATGCGTGGTATGGATAGGGTGAATATAAAGGTCTTTTTTCCCCAGGGTAGGGGGGTCCAAAACTAGAGGGCATAGGCTTAATGTGAGAGGGGAACTGAGTGGCAACTTTTTCACACAGGGTGGTTCGTGTATGGAATGAGCAGCTAGAGGAAATGGTGGTGATGGGTACAATTATTGTGTTCAAAAGGCATCTGGATGGGTGTATAAATAGGAATGGTTTAGAAGGATATGGGCTCAATGCTGGCAACCAGTACTAGATCAGTTTAGGATATCTGGTCAGTTTGGACAGAAGGGTCTGTTCTTGTAGTACATGACTCTGTCTGTACCAGCTCCAAGTGAACATTGTGATTTGTGCCGTTCTGTATACTCTTGTACACTGTTTCCAATAAACAGCCATCTAATGCCCTCTAGAATTCTTCAATTAACCTGCCTCAGCTATAATTCTGGGTGACATTCTTTAGCCATATAGGACTACTCTTTAAAACTCTTTACCAAACTTTTGTCCCCTGTTTTTAAAATTTTGAAACTACACTTTCTACCATGCTGTTCATCTAGTCTCCTCTCACCGCTTAGGTGTTGCTGTCTGCACATGTAGTACTTTGGGATGTTTAGTAAAAAGATATTGAATAAATCTCCTTAAATATTTGACCTTTATCCTTTGTTGCCAGGAACACTGGTACACATCATATATTGACCTGCTGCAGCGCTTCAAACTATGGAATGTCTCAAATGAGGTGATCAAATTGAGCACATGCAGCTCCATCAACTGTTTAAACCAGGCATCAACCAGCCTTCACATCAACTGCAGCAACTGTAAACGACCAATGAGCAGCAAAGGCTGGATCTGTGATAGGTGGGCTACATCTGTCATAACTAGAAGTGTACAGTGTCTACCAAATATATATCTAGAAGCCTAATGGTTAAATTCTACAGCAGGACCAAAGTTGATCACTTGAGTTTATTAGTCAGAATAATAGAATTACTTTTTTGACAAACTCACTTGTTACCACAAAGAGAGATCATACAGCTGTGTTAGTTTTCTTCTGTTCTTCAGCTTCACTATTTGCTGCCCTGTTTCAGCATTGTAAGGACTGCAGTTTGGGTTTTCTGCATGCCTTTCTACTACATTGCATATTTCTGATGTTCTAAACATTTTCACATTTTCGTTTTGAGAAACCTTGGTTAAAAAGGTTCAAAGTGAAGAACACAATTTATCTGGCTGTTCTAAATAGTACAGTGCTGGCAGTAGACTTACATAAAAAACAGTTGTTCATAAAATGGAAATTGTAATAAAATAATCAGCTGGGTCTATAAAATGCTTAATTAAGCAACATATATCCTTGAGCAGGTGGTAGAGTTGTATTGTCTTGTAACTTCCTGTATCATTTACTCTCTAACTTGCTGTTGCATATTTTGTATTTTAGATGCCGCCAGTGTGCTAGCATGTGTGCTGTGTGTCACCAAGTTGTTAAAGGGCTGTTTGTTTGGTGCCAAGGATGTAGCCATGGTGGGCACTTACAACACATCATGAACTGGTTAAGGACTAGTTCACATTGCCCAGCTGGATGTGGCCACCTCTGTGAATATACCTGAAAATCTCAACATGGCATCCAGTGAGCAGTGACTGGATTTGTAATTGTCCACTGCTTGTGGGTAGTGCTGCAACTTCCCAAAATTTTAAAATGTATGCTTTAGATACAAAAATGGGTTAAGTTTGGGTACAATGAAAATCAACTGATCCACCATTTAAAAATTGATGTGTTAACTGAAGTGAATAGCTGTGGAGTTTTATTTTCCTGTTACAGTTTTGTCCGCCATTGCCACCTCGTTTTTTGAAGTGGTATCAGCAAGAAAGACTTTGTGAATGCAGCTTATTGAAGCATGCACGGGTGGCTTGCTTTCCAGTCACTGATAATACTATACGGAAATGTGCCTCAAAGCAACACGAATGCAGAAAGCTGCTTTATAAAGCAACTGGAACAGATCCCACATTGAGTGGGTGTGATAATTTATCATAAGACAACAGGCGGAGCATTCTGTACTCTGACTAACCACAGGCCCAATCATCAGGAGTGCTTATCTGCACACAGCTTAAGTTATAGTAAAGCTCAAGAAAAACACTCCATTTGGTTAAACTTACTTGGATAGTCAATATCACTTAAAATGCTGAAAGAATAACTCCAGAAGTGGGTCATTCAGTGCCTTCTGTATGCTGTGTATCTTGTGCATAAAATCATTCTACCAAGTCTAAATAAAATTACAAAATGTAAAGGTTCAAACATTTTGGGTAAGGGGACCAGAGCAGGTTGAGAACCTAAGAATCCCCTCCAATTCAGTGAGATTGTCAGCAGTGGGTCTGACGGAAGCTGCTTGCAAGCACAATGCTGTTAAGAATGCTGTGATCTTGAGTTATTAGACATTGTAAGGAATTAGCAAAGAATGCACCAAACTGATGGTTATAAAGCACCCATCAGCTAATTCTTTTAAAAAAAAATTTACAATTCCCCACTGTGGGAACCTCAAAGTAATGTCCTAGACATGAGGTCAACAAGCAGTTTCAATTCAGCCATATTCTAGCAACGTCAATTGAGACATTTCCTATTTCCAACTCACTGCCTCATTATTCCATTTTTCAGGTTATATGCTGCCTACTCACCAAATGTCACATTTTTGTTCATCTGCAATTGCACTAGGATGAAATGGAATTTTGAAAAGAGGAAACCCATTTCTTGGCCATAATCTTGAGCAAAGAAGCAGTCTAGCCTCATTTACATAGGTATTTCAATGGTTTTCCATTGGATTTTAAATTTTGTTGAGTACTTAGTGGAACATTGCTGTGTCTTTGAGTTACATTCCATATGTAAAGAAAACCTCGATCCACAGCTGGATGTACAATTTTTGATAAATTGTAATAAAGACTTTAACACGAAATTAAAGTTAAATGAACTCTCCTGCATGTTATTGGAGGTTGAAACTGTAAGAGACTGAAGGTTGTCAGAAAATTAATTTAGTCATCTTATACTTGTATTATAAATATCTATTTGTTATATTTAAGATGAGTACTTTTAAAAATATAATAGTTTATTTTACATTGAATCCTGCTAGAAGTAACTAGTGTACTCCTGCAAAAATGCTGTAAAATAAACCTCGGTTGCAATAGTTTTTCTCATTATTTAATTCATTCTTCAGCCCAGTGCACACGATTTTCCTCTAATATATATTGTAATGTATTTAATAACATAACCCTCTTAGGTTGGTGTAAATAAAGCTATTCAATAATGGTTGCCTGACATGAATCCACTTCTTAAATCATCTCTATGCAGTCTTCTCACCCACACTGAACATATCGCACCGGTGTAGCTTGTTTACATGAGAATGACACTCTGGACAGTTAACTCACTAAAACTGCTTGCCATAATGTCCCCTTTGGCCTGATGTCAATTTTTTTTTTGACCCATTGCACTTTGAAACATTTTGCTGTGGTCAGTGTGCTTCAATAGTCATTTATTATTCCTGTTCACTGGGTAGGTGAGATTAATACATTTAGAAATTCTGATCCAGGATTCCTGTGCAGGATTAAGTACCATTTGGCATTAGTACCAGAGCACAACTATTCATCTCACATAGCTCCAGGGATGTGATGGGGTGGGGGGAGAACAAAACAGGTACTTTAGTAATAATGTAAAGATTGCAGCTGCACAGCAATTGCATCCTCATTATATTAATTAGGAGACCATTTCATTCCATCAGTTAAACTATTGTACACTCTTTTTCTAGTAGCACATTTCATGTACTAAGAACTATTTTCATTAATCTTAAGAGATGGTGTTTTCTTAAAGTAATTCCCTTATATGTATGGCTTCTATGGGACAACAGGGTTATGGTTATGCTACTGGGTTAGTAATCAAGAACTCTGGTCTACATAAGGCATAAATTGAAATCTCACCATTGTCACCAGACAATTTAAAAATACAATTAATTACTGTGTAAGAAAAGGTGAGGGAAGCTGTGGTGGTAGTGTGGTTATGTCACCATACTATTAACCTAGATGCACAGGGACAACGGTTCCACTTCCACCACTGGAATAACTCAAATTCAATTAAATCTGGAATGTAAAGGTCATCTCAACAGTGACAACTATCACCAATTTTTGCTCATCTAGCCTTTTAGGGAAGGAAATCTACTGTCATTACCCTCTTGGCGATCAACTGCCCTCCGAAATGGCCTAGACAGCCACTCAGTTCAACGAAGAATAAAGAAAACAAGTACAACAGTAATGCCCAGTTCTGAAGAAGGGTCTAGGCCCAAAACATCAGCTTTCCTGCTTGGCCTGCTGTGTTCATCCAGCTCTACACCTTGTTACAACAGTAATGGTAATCCCCAGACTACGAGAAGGTCATTAAAATTCTGATTAAATACTGTTCTTTAGAAAAGAAATCTGCTATTCCAACTTTTCCCACTTGTGATGAAAAGTCATCAACCTGGAACATCTCCATGATGCAGCCTGACCTACTGATTCTTTCCTGTATTTTATGTTTTATTTCACATTTCCAGCATCTGCAGTACTTTGCTCTTGTAATCCGTAGTCTCTGACCTGTGAGATTCTAGACCCACAGCTATGTGGTTGACTCTTATTCGCCCTCTAAATTGTACAGCAAACAATTCAGTTGCCGCTATTTTCTGGAGAATCTCAGGGATAGGTGATAAAAGCTGGCCTTGCTAGCAACGTCCACATCCTGTCAACTATCTTCCTGCCAAACTGACAGCATCTACTGAGTTGGTTGCATCCGATAGGATATGTTGCAATCTTAAAATGGGAGTAAAAATTAGCCCATGATAGATACACAATCTACCCTTCTCTTTCATTTTCAAATTCTCTACATTCATCAGCTCAAGTGGTAGGCAGCTCTGACCAATTGCAGCCCACCAGTGATCCACCTTCAGTGGCACAGTACAAGAACTGTTATGTTGCTTAATTATAACCCCATCCTTCCTCACCTACTACTCTATTTCAGTGAATTCAACAGGAATGATTACATATTGACTTGCTTCCAAAATTGACCAAACCTCAAGATCATTTTCAACAGCACTAGTGATTCAGGTTGCATTGAACCCATTTCGCAGTCACCACACAGGCTTACAAGATCTCAAAATGGCAGAAAATAGCTGGTACTTGTCTGTTACACTGGTCAGGGACACAAAAATGAAGTGGCTTTTACCCAGGTCTGAAATATGTGTTTAATAATTTATGTATGCAAATATGAAATCAACATCCTTTTTCAGGTCCCCATTGCGAAAGTAGTTTTCCCTTAGACAGCCATGTGAGCTGCCCCATAGAAATCCAGAAAGAAATAAGAAATATCATCTGCCATTCCATTCATCACTCCTTGGATCAGACCTTGGATCTGAACCTATCCTCAACTTCTGGTTTCAACCTCCTAACCACCGATTGTAATCCCTCGTCTGTCTGATCCAGCAACTCCCTCCACACCCTCCTGTCCCTCCCACCAATCTGATGTTTCACAAAATCTCCAGTTATTACCAATCCGATACACAATCCCTTCCCTTGACACAGTCACTTACCTGAGCGCTGTTGCTTTGAATTGATACAACTACCATTATGGTCTTCTGCAGCAGTACCACCTTGACTGTAATCAGGCCTGTGGCCAAATATGAGGGGCTGTTCAGACCACACCATTTGTTTTAACCTGGGAGCCCAAGAGGGGTGCTCCCGAATTCAGTCTCTAATGTATCTATTTCCCAATTGGAAAAACAGAAGGGACAATATCACTTTTGCTGTATTTAAAATGTGTTTATCAGCAAGAATAAAAAAACAGCTCTACAGGTTAAACAAAGAACCCAACAAGGAAGTTTAACAGCTTCTTTGCATATTAAATAACCACAAAAAAACTCTTAAAATCATACAGAATAAATAGTCAAAAATAATTTACACATTTGGTACAAAGATTAGGGAAGGGCAGTTTATGAATTGTTTTGTTTAAAAGTTTTCACATCTCAAAAGGGGACGAAAACCTTTACAACTGATATGGCTTTTTTTTATTGAAACAATGCTATGAACAATCTTTTTCTGCTTCTGTACAACATTTACATCATAAAAGCCATTCAGAACCTGCTCCAAAGCCAAAGAAAAACCTTCTATTGTAGTGCATCAATCACAACTTCATAGTCTCTCCCCACCAGCAGCTTTGTTAAAACCATTACAGAATTAGAATCAGTGTTTTTGCCGTATTTCTACTGATTTTATTTTATGATATGTTTAAACAGTGGATGCTATTGACATAGTTTAGCCATCTATAAGTGCAGAGGATTGCTGTAGATTGGGTTGGATTTAAAGCCCAATAATGCAAGGACAGTGAATATTCATATCTTGAACATGACAGACTGCTAATATTAAATCACCTTTCATTGCCATATTCGGCGATTCAAGTCAGTTTTCTTGAATCAGGTCTCAGCATCCAATGTTTAAAAATAAATATCCCAACAAAAATTTACAAGTATGTTAAGGATAAAAGACCATTTTTAATTCGTGTTTTCTTTTTGAAAAAGCTCTGATGGGGAATTCTCTCTCTAACACGTAACACTCACCAAACACTTTCAAAATGATCTGAAACAAAAAAGATGTCAAGATTCAAAGCTTCAGTCACAATGCAGAATCTTCCAGAGGCATAGGTTTAGGATTGGTCAATCACACTGGACAGCAGGGTGATAGCTGCACCTAGGTGTAAATGCTCAACAACTGAATGGCCTACGTCTGTTCCTAGGAATACAAAGTAATACTGCTAGGTGTACACTGCAAATAATTCAACTGCAATTGGGTGCATTTTTGAATTGTTGAGCAACAGCATCAATTATTCACTCAACACAGCCCAGAACAACATGGAAATTTAACAGTATTTTCAGAACAGAAAGATTGCCACAATATTGTGATGAGTTGCCAATGTGATTTTGGTTGTAAGAAATGCTTTTGCCTCTTGATATTAGGTAAATTAAATGCCTAAAAGAACATTAGTAACACAGGCAAACATCCAATCTCTCTGACGGGGTCAGTTAAGGGACTATGGAATCATTAGAGGAAGAATTAGAAAAACCGCTAATTTGTTAAAACTACATGAATCATACTAATTTAAATTCATATTTGAAAAATACATCTTTCAGTGCAAGTTTAAAACTAAAACTGCTGAAAGGTGGTTAACAAATTAAAACTACTTGTAAAATGAAAACATTGTTTGTGCAAAAGAAAATGTTTTGCTGCAGATTAAATTCCATTAGAAACATACTACCCAGATTTCACATGATCCCACAAATACAAACTAATCAAAACCGAGGGAACTGTAAACCAAAAACAGTAACAACTAATTGGCTCAAAAATAAAAAGGCCGTCTGGCATTTTCAGGTCCCCAATTTTGGTGGCTAAATGTTCAATAAAAGTTCTAACGCTCTTAACAATCTGATTAGAAATGAGATAACCCTCTCAGTGAAGGGTGTTAATCTGCCTACTGTAATATTGTGACTTGTGTTTTGCACAATTACTGCAAGGATTAAGTCAAGTTTGATTCAAGAGGGTTGAGTTATATGCATCTGTTGTCAGATGCATAAAGCTGTATATGCCCATGACCAACGCAGTTAAACAAACCTCTGAACCAAAGAACAATATTTTCAGAGTTGACAGAATTATGTTATGGAATGAAATGGAATGAATGCTATAACAATGTATTCCTTCTTTTGGACAACAAACAAATTGATGCTCTTCAAAAAGACAGCCACCATGCTGGTAGGATTTTAGCTATAATTCACTCATACCAAATTAAAAATTATTCTGATCTATATGACCATGCTGGTGCCTAACTGAATTCTAATCACATGGTCTTTTGACAGCTGAACTTGGTCTTGGTCTTGGTCTGCATGTCAAGTTTGGTTTCAATTTGGAACAACCTATTCATACCTTCAAAGAGCAGCCATTTACCAGTCAGTGACAGGATTATGTAAAGGCACCATGTGGTTGTGCAACACTAGGGTCTAATAGCAATAAAGATATATTCACTTATTTCAAATGGCCAGGATGATTTGGTAGGTGGCAAGTCAAGATGGAGATTGTAGAGGAAGTAGGTTATCATTAACAACTGACATTTGCACTGAGCACAATATCATCGATGACTTCTAAAATGTGAAGATATCAAATTGGACAACTTTCAGGGGACTCCGACTATGCATTGTATAAGGATTTCTCAATCAGAGCATTGATTTGACTGAGAAAACAAAAAGATTTCTCCCCTTATTAAAGCACAGTGAAAAAACATGTAGCTTTACTTTCTTAATCTTGGAAAGGAGCCACCATTTAATCAAAGGGAATCCATGGAAAATGGAGATTATAAAATCTGTAGCTCTACACATAGTAGCAGAAAGAAGATGAAAGGTTACACTTGGAAAACCACTGATGTAACAATAAATGTAAAACCAACAAGTACTGAAGCTTTGAATTCTGACTAACATTTCACTTTGCATTCAAACGTTCCTAATGGGAGGTTCAAGCCAGGAGGAACAAGTAGAGTCTGAGTTTGGGCTTGTTTGGATAATTAATTTTTGTTCTACCCCCAAAACATTTTCAGCAAGTTCTTCATTTTTAACTGATACAGAGAATAGACTTAAGAATTGTACAAACCAAGTATACATTATAACACACCCAGTTCCCTACTACTGGGCCCGGTTCAGGGGACAGAAAACTTTAATCACAGCCACAACCGTCCAGGCCATTAATTGAGTCAAACATAAATGGTAAAAGAGAGATGGAATATCGATAACAAAAGGGGGAAAGAACTTTCATGTATTGACTAGTCGTTTATGAAACTGCTTCTGCAATTATGTCAGAAAGATAAAGAAAAGACAAAGAAAACTACCAAAAGGTCACTGCTTCCCAGCAGGAAAAGTGCACTGAGTACACACTATTGTCTTCTGCTCACTCCAGCCGAACCAAGCTAAAACTACAAAAGTAGATACCTTCTTTATTACTCAACCAATGTACAAATTATAACTTCTCCAATACAGAACGTCATCCTAAATCAACAACGTATGATTATTTGAAATCAAAGCAGTGGAAATTTGAAGAAACCAAATTGATGGGATAAAACGTTGCAAGATGCCAAGATCTTGTTTATTTGCATATTTATTTTGCTATGAACTAGATTAGAAAATACAAAACTGTGGGTGCAAGATGCAGATTAACTACAGGTTCTCAGAAGAGATTTATTGCTTTAAAAAAAAATTCAAGAGTATTACAAATTGTGAGCTGCCAGTATCACAAGCAACAAACGCATCTGCATATTTGGATATACCTTTGCCTAAATTTTGTAAATCACTATTTCTGACATGTAGCACATTTTGAATAAACCTGCAACGCAACTAATGCACTGTAACATACACTGGTGGTCCTAATAAAATGGTCCACTGTTGTACAATTCAGCTTAATTACTTTCCTTGTTCCTGCGTGCCTATAGATGCAATAGCTTGGTCCTCAGCCAACGAGCAACAATTGGATGCTGTTGGACAGTAAAACTTACTTAGGGACAGTGCTATATATTGATCTAATTGGTTAACCATAGTTTGGGTTAGGAAATGAAATGCAAGTCACCTTGTACGACACATTAACACTAACAACGTTATCATCTAGGCCACATATCACTAGGGGCTAGTGGTAGTGCACAATCTGTAGAATTTGAGATGTTTTTTGAAAAAAAAGGCATAAAATTCTTCTAAAAACTTAATCTGTGAATTGTGAGGCTCGGCCAGCAGACCAGAGTTACACTAATTGCACTCTTACACTTAGGTCACTGACCGCAATTCTGTTTGGATACAAAGCTGCACCTCTCAAAGTTCTTACAGAGCCAACAAGAGCTTTCATAATAATATTAAAAAGTCAACAGTGCAACTGCAAAGTTTAACTGTGGCCCAATGGATCCCAAGGGCATGGCAATCCCATACATTAACCTTAAAGGGAAAATATGCAACTGCCGTTTAGGATGAAAAATCTTTATATTTTACATGTAATTAGATATCTATACATTATTAGAAGAGAAAAGTGACGAATGCTGCCTCATGTGGGCTGAGAATTCACCTTCAGTCATATGAACACCCATGGCAGAGGCTAGCAACCCTCAGAAGAAGTCAGCAACAAGGTTGAGTGAGAGGGAAAGCCAACAACGACGATGGTGGGTGAAGCCGGAGAAAAAAAAGTGATATTTAAAATCGAAAGCACAGAAACAAAATTGGGAAGGGGCATACAGAAACTTGATTTTGGATGGATCAACCATATTAAACAGCCTCAGCATCAAACTTCAGTTTTGTTTCTGACAGACAATAAGGAAAGAGGACAAGGTATCAAGGTCCAGTAATGGGCCTAGACAGGCCAAACTACTTGCTTCCCATGTTGTAAAATGTAAATCATCTAAGCATTTACAGAGAATATCAAAATGGCATCTGAACCATAGTCTAGTGCATAATGGATGGCCCATTTGAGCTGATACAGCAGCTCAAAGCAAACAGAAAAGAAGGGGCTCCCTGGTGGGAAAAAGGAGATCCACCAGTGCCATAACAATAGAACTGTAAATGAGAACAATGAAAAGGGCCAGTGTGAACAAGAAATCTGGTATGTGGGAACAAAGTTGGGAATAGGAGGCTCGCGTCAGGATAATCAAAATTGCAATGAACATACAAGCCCACTACATATAAACTAGCACCTACCAAACCACATGTGCGGACTAAGCAATGGATTTGATTCTTAAAGTGACCATCAGGGACTTGATTGTGACTGTCAAGTTCTCCAGTACATTCTGTACACTCTCTGAACATGTCTACCAAAAGCACCATGCAGCTCAAATGGAATTCTCAAAAGTACTCATCTGTACATTAGACAGACATTTAATGGCATAAATGCAATGAGTACAAGCTACCTTTATCTTTTTAATAATCTCCCTTTACCATAATCAGTCTCAATGACAGAATAATCATTATAAGCATGTGAGCCATGTATTTCAACATTCATTCAGGTAGAATACACAGTCACTTTTCCTTTTTTTTTGACACCCCCACTATGATTACTACTGTTTTTCTTTTAATGGAAAGCATTAATGGGTGTGTTATACATAAGCAGAAGGTTTGTATAACTCTCTCAGAACATTCTCAGTCAATCCAGAAATAATCTGGTACAAACCATAAGAACATTATCAGATCTACAATGAAACCTTTAGTTCTCAGAAACGGTTTTGTTTGCGTGCCTAATCCAAGCACGTGCTCTAACTGCATTTCAGTTTCAGACGTTGAAAGAGAATTTCACTCTAGTGTTCAGTCCCATCGCAGGATCCTTTTGGGCTCTTCTGTTTATTAGCTTCACGCAAAGTCATTGACTGCCAGCTTAATGTCATCATAAACCTAATACTGATTCACGGGAAGTACTGTCAAACTTATTGCACATTTTTCAAAACTCAGTGTCATTTACAAATGGATCCTCCAGTAGTCAATGCCCGTTATGGGCAGCTTAATTGGCAAGGTGCTGAGAAACTGGGGGGTTGTGGGGGCGGCTTTAGACGCACCCTTTTGTTCGGTTCATGACCTTACTGTGAGAGATCACCAATCGGAGGGCCGCTGTCAAAAAGCATCTCTTTCCTTGAAGTCTCAGCCCCTGAGAGCTCTTGGGCGAGGTCGTTAAAGCGGGCAATGTAATCCACACTGCTTTCATTCATCATACACACCAGCTGAGAGTCGACCTTGACAATAAAAACATTGAATGAGTGCATGATTCACCACACAGCACAGATGCTCAAAATGAATTTTTTTCCTTTCTTCTCTCTTTTTGACCAATCTTTTCTCAGCTAATGCCTGAGATTTGCTTTTATCTTTGAATTACTTGATACAATGGCATAGAGGAACTTATCCCTTGCTCGGTTTTTAGTTTACCTCTTCTGTTATTTAATAGAGACAGAGACAAGAGCATTAGGGAGAAGTGAAATAAATGTGTTTCCCTCAGATGAAATATGTGTAGCTGATAGGGCAGCTATGAAATAAAAATACTTGAAGATGATTTCAGATCAGCAAGTCAGCAGCACAGGTGCATTTCCAGAACTTTTTTTTTGCCACAAGGATCCAAAACAACCTAAACCTTCCTTTGAATTAGTCTTGAATGAAAACTTTGTGACATGTCTGAAATGTTGCAACACTGCTTTTTTTTTGGATGTACTTTATAAAATTGACTTGGATATTGGAATGGAGTAAGATTTCAATATTTGCCAACTATATCAAACTTGCAGGTGTGGCAAGCAGTGAGGACATCAACTGACTGCAACAGGACATAGATAAGCTCAGGAGAAAGGACAGGGAGAGTCAATATAGACTTAAATGGCACAGCTCTGTAAGTGAGCAGAGACAGACTGATCTTGGAAACTATGTGGAATCATGGGCTTCAAAAGTAGACATGTTGAACACAACAGCAGGGAAGTTATACTGAACTTTATAAAGCTCTAGAGTATTGTGTCCAGCTTTGCTCGCCACAATTCAGGCAAGATAGGATGTTCTTAGACAGCGTGTGGAGGAAATTTACCAGAATGGTTCCAGGTTTGAGAGATTTTAGCTACAGAGAGAATATGAAGAAACTAGGGTTATTATCCTTGGTGTAGAGGAGATTGTAGGGAGATTTTAAAGAGGTGGTACAAGGTTATGACAGGATAAGTTAAGTTGGATAAAGGTAAGTTGTTTTCATTAGCCGATGGTACGAGTGCAAGGGGACACTGGTAAGGTTTTAGGAAAGAAAAAAAGTTGTTGTGCAGCAAGTGGGAACGAGACAGGATTCGCTGCTGAAGAGGACAGTGCAAGTGAAGACAATGAATTATTTCAAAAGAAAAGTGGATAGGCACTCAAGGGAATTGAACCTGCAGGATTATAGGATTGAAGGTGGAGAATGGCACTGATTGGGTTGCTCTACAGAACGCCAGTAAAGGAACACAGGACTTAAAAGCAGGATTAGGCCACGTGTCTGCTCTGTCGTACAAAAGATCACAGATGATACAGTTGTGGTCTCAAACCCACTTGCTGTCAGCCCGTTCCAAAGTCTTTGACTCCTTTGTCTATCAAAACTCTAACTGGACTTGGACTGAATGGTCTTATTCTACATCATCATGACTCCATGACTCAAGGCTAATTTGAAATTAAAACTGTACTGTACTCTTGCACAATATCTATGTCAACACTGAAGCAAGAAAAATAACACTAATCTTTCCCTTGCTAGATATTAGATAGCAGCTTTACATTTTTAGAACATGTACTGCTGATATACAACATTTTGTTGAAGCTTTTCATATTGCAGTTATTAAGATATTTTGTCCGAATACAAAAACACTACATATTCAAATCCATCGAAGGCCCTTAAGGCAACACTTCTAAGTCCCAAGAAGTGTCTAGTTTACCTCAGCTTACCCTGGAAGAATAAAGTGTCTCAAATATTTGAGCCACAGGCAAAATTAGCCGTTTCAGTGCTGCAGTAACAACATGAATGGTGCTCACCACTATTAGGATGCTGCCATCATGCAAAAAAGATATTCTGCATATCACACAAATGAGTACCGCAGTATATAAATTTCAGTGTCAGTGCGAATCCAAATGCATAGGCCTTACGTCCCAAAGAATGGTGGTGCATGTTCCCTCGGCTGTTCACAACAAGCAAGGTATCAACTGTACTCAACCTGCTCCTGCTTGCAGAGCTTACATTAGTGTCTAACATTAGATGTGATTCTGCAATTTGACAACATTTGCTAGATAATCCTGAATGTGCGAGGAATTACGCTGACAACCAATTTGCAATTATTAGTTGAGCTCACAGGGTGGTACGCATGCACATACTGAAAGCTACATATATCAATACCTGAAGCCCTGCTCTTTGCAGGCCAAAAGAACTCTTCTATGCAGTGCACCTGTTCCAACTCAACAAAATAGGTGACACCCATTTGCCGGTTTATCTCTCAGGGCAATTCCCTGACAGTCAACCTGCCTGGTTTAAAATTTCAAGACCGGCGGTTAACTATCAATCAGGACTATAGTGCAAGATCCATTGGTACACCTCTTCTAATCAACAGCCCACTTGCCAACCAAGCAGTACATTCCTGTCATGTAGTGCATATATTAATATAGCCCTTGAGTTTGTATTCTTGCAAAATGTCCTGATGAATGCAACAGGAAAAGCTTCAACAAAATCTTTTGGAACAATTGCTTTTAACATTGATTATGAAGTCAAAAAGGTACCAGAGCACTGAACTATTTCTGGACAAGAACAATACTGCTCTTCTCCTGCAGGAGATTCACTTTTATATAAAAGTAGCAAAGTTGCTTGCCACTTGATTATAGGCAATTCTATGAAAGTTCTATGAAATATTGCAGCTGGGAAAACATCAATGGTCACTCTACAACTGACAACAAATGTTCTAGATCAATACTGATTAGGGACTCACCCACTAAAATATATAATTAGTCAAAACTGCTGATCACAAAGCACATTTACCTTCCCGTACAGTGCCTGTACTGAAATATGTATAAAGATTTAAGATCAAATCAATGTCAATGAAATTTGATTAAACTGATGGATTCTGCCAACTGCAGAATCAATAGTAACAATCTTTACCAATATGCTCTTCCAGCAACCAGGATAGTTTTACAAAAGCCTCTACGTCTCAAAATCTACGGCTAACTCAACATTTTAATCTTCCACTTATTTTCCAGGGGATTACATAATTTGGAAAGTTCTTAGTCAAATGAGTAACTTAATATTCAGTTACAGGTAGTTTTGCTATAACGTGCGTTTCGTTAATGCTAATTGGCTGTAACGCGATTAATGAATAGTAGATGCTGTTTGGATAACGCAAGCTTTCTACTGTAAAGGTTTAGTGAGTTTCTATAGCACAAGGTCATGAAAAAATGCAACTACAGCATTATAGGAAAACTACCTGTACACATTTGGCCAATACAGCCAAGAACCCATGGCTTCTTAGAATTGAGCTTTAAATGTGTATAGTTACATACACAATTTGTTTTTTGAAAAGGTACTTTGAATTTTCTTTATTACATAATGCTTGGGTTAATCTTCAAATAGAATCCACGTTCTTACCTCAGAGACATCTACTAATGAGCGGGACACAAAAGAATCCCTAGAGTTCCCATCTAAGAGGCTTGTTCCAAGCAGAGAGCTGCTGTTGCTATTGCAGTTGCCAGTTGTTAGCATCTTCCGTCCCTTTTCAGGTGATATTAAACTTGCTGCAAACAAACAACCCAAAACATATCAAATCAATCCACTGCATTTCTCGAAAAGGGTACAGAATGCCCAAGAAATAGCACATATCCTTTCAAAGGTCCGGGTTAAACCTCTTCAACTTTTTCAGCACACTCTTGGCTCAGGTGGGACCATTCCTTTCTGAGTCAAAAGGTTCAAAGTTATAGGTCTACTGCAGGACCATATCAACACATGGAGCAGTATTAAAAGGAGTAAATGTATTGTGAATGTTCCTCTCTTTGGCTGAGAGGATGATAAAATAGAAGCATCTATTTCAAAGATCCATTTTAGTACTAACTTCTTTAATTATATCACAGTACTTATGCATTTAAAATAAGCTCACTCTCAGAAACCACACCTCAACTTTACTTCTTCAAGTATCACTATCACTCTAACTAGTTTTTCGGCTATAGGCTCAAGGGAAAGTGATGAGACACTTAAAACATAAATGTGTAATTTGTTTAGCAGTCATTTAAAAAGTTAATAAACAATTCATTAACACACAAAACATCCCTCAGCATAGTCTGATTATGAGCCCACATTTTCAGTGAGCTTGGTATTACATCCGGTTTTGTTTCTCAGTGGTTTGTACACAGGGTCTAATTCAACGTGTATGTTGATGGAGTTCCAGTTGGAATATCAGGCCTCCAGGAATTCCCTGGCGTGTCTCTGTTTGGCTTGTGCGATCAATGTGTTGTCCCAGTCGAATTCGTGTCTTTCATTGTCTGTGTGTGGTGAAGCAAGTGAGAATTGGTCATGTCTCTTGTTGGCTAGATGGTGTTCGTGTATCCTTCTAGTCAATTTTCTTCCACCAAAAGACATACACGAACACCAACTTGCCAACAAGAGACATGACCAAATCTCCCCGATGCGGAGATTTCATTCAGTCATGGGGTCTTCTTCAGTGGCTTCTGGGTACTCCAGCAGCCCACTGCGGAAGTCACGTCTTGGCTTGGAGGTCTCATTCTTGCTTTGGAGGCGGCTTCCGGGTCTTCCAATGCCCCAGCGTGGATGTCTAGTCCTAGTGTGCACGTCTTGGCCTGGTCCTATGTGGTGATTTCGGCCCAGTTTCCCAGCGTACTGCAAACCCAGGTAATGTTACTTGAACTGTGATGAACTTTTACTTTTCTTGTTATTTATGACCTCTGAGATTAGTTTAGGCGCTGTGGTACGGCAACTTATAAAACTTCTCACTATTTTGTTTTGTAAAAATACATGTGACAACCTCGAAGTGATTCCAGAGCAGTCTCCTGGCCTTGAGGTGAACCCTGGCATGGACTGGAGTCAAGGCACCAGCATGGACTGGGTTGGAAGGACTGCTGTACTGAACTATTTTTTTCTCTCTATTTTCTAAGTTATTCCTACAAATTGTAATGCTGGACTTCTTATTTCTTTATTTTACCTTTTTTTTCCTAAGAACATGTACTGAAGAAGCTGCACCTAGATACCTGGTACCTAAGATGGCACTGTAAGTGGCAACTTGTCAACTCTTCACCGCACTCTTTTGAGTACATGTGACACATCAGGAGCAGCGGATGCAATAGACCACATTGATGGATGTGGAGGTGAACCTCTGTCTGATGTCCCAGTGTCGCCTCCTCTACATCAGTGAGACCAAGTGGAGGCTCGGACACTGCTTTGTAGAACACCTGCACTCTGTTCGTGACAAACACCACCACCTTTCGGTCGCGAACCATTTCAATTCCTGGGTGACATGTCCATCCTGGGCCACCTCTAGTGTCACAATGACACCACCTGGAAACTGGAGGAGCAGCACCTCATATTGAACCTTGGGAGCCTACAGCCCAATTGTCTAAATGCGGATTTTACCAGTTTCAAAATCTCCCTACACTGCTGGCCTCATCCCATGACCAACCCTCCCTCTCATCACCGCCTCCTTGACCTGACACAACCTGTCCATCTTCTCTCCCACCTCACTGACCAATCCCCACCACTCCCTACCTGCACTTACCTATCACCATCCCACCTACCTTCCCCAGCTCCACCCCGCCTCTCTCGATTTATTTTTGAGCTCCCTTCTCCCCCCTCCCCCATTTCTGAAGAAGGGTCCTGACCCGAAACATCAACTTTCCTGCTCCTCTGATGCTGCCTGGCCTGCTGTGTTCCTTCAGCTCCACATTGTATTCCCATAACTCTTGGTGGGATTAATTTATTACATTTCCCCCATTCTCCAAATAAACGTTAGTTTAGACACATTTCACTTTTATTTGCACTAAGCATTCTTCAGTTGCTGGTGTGGAATTCATGGCAGAATGTTGCCCCAGCCACAGAACATGCTAATGCTACTTTCTGACCAGCCACTAATTAGATTATTACTGTATTTTACACTTTATTCCATCACTGCACAGACCATAAGAGTCATACAGCACAGAAACAGACCCTTCGGGCCAACCAGTCCATGTCGGACATAGTACCAAACTTAACCAATTCCACCTGCCTGGTCCTGGCCCATATCCCTCCAAACCTCGTATTCATGTACTTATCCAAATGTCTTGTAAAAGTTGTAATTCTATCCACTTTCCTCAGGAAGTTCATTCCATACGTGAATCAACCTTTGTGTAAAATAAAAATTGCCCCTCACAACTTTTAAAAATCTTTCTCCTCTCACCTTAAAAATATACCCCCTTGTCTTGAAATCCCCCATCCTAGGCAAAAGACAACTACCATTAACTCTATCTATACCCCCCATTATCTTATGAGCTTTTGTAAGGTCGCCACTCAATCTCCTACACTCCAGTGACAAAAGTCCCAGCCTATCCGGCCTTTCTTTATAACTCAAACTTTCCACGCCCGTCAGAAAGGCTTAAACAACAAACAGTGAGACACAAAGCTTGATCTGTCCTGCATTTATGGAATCCAGAGAAACATCATGTATAAACAGCAAAAAAAATTACATCAAGATCACTGTGAAATTAAAGAGGGCTCAAAATAGATGCTAATATACTAAATCTACACAGTGAAGTATTAACTACACTGAACATTTTACTGTCTGTACTAATGAGAATAAATTGAAGAGAAACAGAGAAACAAGTCTTTGCCTCATGATGAATCTTGAGATTTGAAATGGGACCAAGATTTTGCAAGCTTTTTCGATTGTTTACATTTCTCAAGACTGTACGGTGAAACATACTTTCTGGAGGACAATCAATTAGAAGATGCTTACATAATAGACTACCCAATGAAGAATCACCAGAATCATTTGGAAACCACTGTGGATCATGTGTTGGTGAGGGAATCCAGTTTCGTTGAGGACTGGCTGACGGAGATGGGAGACTTTTTGAGCTGTCACTACCATTCAGCTTTGTTGGAGAGAGAGAAGCACCATCACCTTTTAAAACAAAAGGCAAGATTTAGGTCAGAAATGGATACAGTAAATAAATTACATTCTATCAGCGACAAAATTTCAAAATACTTCATTAGCTATAATAAATGTTGGGACATCCTTCAGTCACATATAAATGCAAGGTTTTTCTTTAAGAGTTAGTCATACACACAATTGATTTTCCAGTGTGGAGCTACAAAACAATTGCACAAATCAATATTTATGTAGAAGAAAAATATGAGTAAAAATGACAGAGTCCCAGCAACAAAGTGTCGTAAGTGGCAACTAACTCTCCATTTATTATTTAAATGTTAATTTTGAAGGCATGTCTCAGCACAACATAATTACACAGTTTTCTAAATAGTTGAACTTCCTACTTTTGTTCTGCCAGTGATATTCTTACAATACTACTTCAGACACGTTAAATAGGTCTCATTTTTCAAATTAACCTGTAGTGCGTGATATAACTGATAAAATGATACACAACCGCCAACAATTATATATTTTTCTACTTACCACCAACATACTGAGTAGAGTTAATAGCAAGCTCAATGATAGAGTCGCTGATTTGGCTGTGGGGTCCACCCTGGGACAACGTGTCATCAGGCGGTCCTGGTAATGATATATCCAGGAGTGCAGAGACATTTGGAGGAGAAGTGAACAATGTGTTGGAAGCTTCACTTGATGGTGAAGGCAGGCCATTCTGAAGTGTATGTTTTTCAAGCTCCCTCTGTGCAGAAAAGACAAAAAATTAGTGATTAAAGGCATTTAACATAGTCAAAAGATACAGGAAGCATTCCCTCAGCCAAGACAGTCGAAATCATTCTCCAGGCAAAGCCTCTGTATTAATACAGGGTTTAAAAAGAACAACATCTTTCATAAAAAGCAATACTTTCAAGCAAAATTCTGATGGAATTCACAGATGCTCATGATAGTTCAAGTGCCATTTGATTTTTGTTCTATTTTTCAGTTCAGTATCTGGTATAAATTGAATACAAACTAAAGAACAGTGGAACACCAGGTTCCTTCCACTTAATTATATAAGAAACTTGAGTTTGCTTATATCAGCTTGTAACACTGAGGGTATCTTTCACAATCAGTCAATAAAATTGTATTTAATTGTTCTTTGCAAGTTGACTTCTGGAGATGAACAGCTCATCGGCTGAAGAAATTGAGTTGCATTCATTCAAATAATAATGCAGCTTGGTGCCAGTGACATCATTGCTTATTTAAAGAACGACCCTGTTTCCTTCCTGTGGGCATCCCATTCCTGATCAAAAGAAGAGCTTAACATCTAGACACTAGTGGGAAGGCAGCAGGTATCAAGGGGGTAAAGGAGTACCTTATCAACTCACACATTTACAACACAGGAGATGCCAATTCAGCCCATTGTGTCCGTGCCTGGCAAGAGAGATCTGAAGACACTAATCTGAATTTCAGGTCTTGGTCTACAATGTACCACATCTCATTTTTAAAATGAGAAGTATATGAAATAAGTGTATTTCCACAATCTGATATGATTCTTTTTAGGTCATTTAAAACTTTGCAACGATGCACTTAACATTGTAAACTGAAGCTGCAGACATAAACTAGTGACTCACACCTATCGACTATCATCCTCAATTATAAGAAAGTTTGCTATGAAGGTTCTACCATTTGTGAGCATTTCTCCAACACAGAAAAACAGAATTAGTCTTCTGGGACTGTGTGCTGAAAAGCTTCCTACCCGCATCAGGTAACTTAGTGCTTACTGATTAGATATACAATAGCATGATCGTGTTTTGGCTGCTTGAATTGACAATGGTGAAAGAGACATTAACACCCAAAGCAATTAGTGAGTAAAATTACTCTGAAAAACTATACTCATTGCAGGTATGCTGTAGACACAGAACTTAGCTCAGATAAATACCAAAGCTTGCAGTATATTCAGAAGGAATGGCACACAGATACAGTTTACAGAAGACTAACTGTTGACAGCCAATGATAACTCACTGTTGTCACAGTTGCTGCTGTGTTGCTTCCATTTTGATGGACTGAGGATAACTCCTGGTTTGAGGTTACTATGGAAATCCCTTCTGTTGACAAAGGTGTCAAATCTTGCGATCCTTCTGCATCAAGTGTCTGGATCGGGCTGCCTGGAATTATGCCAGCTGATTTAGCTGCCATATCGATTGCACCTGATGGAGAAGAAACAGTTTTATTAATGTATCCAATTACATCACATTTGTTTTCTATACATACATAAATAAGCCTCTGCCGCAATTTGAAAATCTACAAGTACACCTCTGTCTAATAGCTTGGAAATGGGCAGCATGTTGCAAAAACCAAATCCGCACAGGTGAAACCTCCGAGAGAAAGCTTTCATAAAGTATTGTTAAAAGACAACTTGTTGATACATCATTAGAAAATTATAATTCAAATAAACAGGAATAGAATGGGATTTGCAATACAGAACTGATCAGTAAATCCATAACAGGTACAAAGTTTCCATGTTGAAGGTCAAATGCATAACCAAGACAACAAACAACTGGGTGCATACAGAGCCACAGCATAATGGCTAGCATACAAAACAGAATTGCTCTTTGTAATCACTCTATGTAGAGGGATAATATTAAACTTTTCTGCCATAAATAATCTGCTAGTTACGTTCACTAAACTACGAAGGTAATAACATGTAATTGAGCATGATGGTCATTGAACCATGACAATTCTTAGCATTAATGTAAAAAATTTAGCAGCAAGCCCTTAGATCTTCTTAATTAAAAGACTGTCTGTGGCTCACAGTCTACAAATCAAGAGGACTTAAAAGAAAAATAAAAGATTGAAAACATACAAAATTTAAAATACATTAGAGTCACTTTGAAAATTAACTTTTGAACTAACTGTAACTTACTAGAGAGCTGGCTAGTAGATGCTGGAATGGCTTTTGGAACAATAGGACGAGCTAAAGATGCTTTGGAAAGTGACGACTGAAGAGGACGGAAGGAACCTGTACCTAAAAAATACAAAAGCACATAGTTCGCAACTGAGTATAGGATGGGCGGGGATGAAAATTTAAAATTAGATTCATTGAGGATGAGAAATCAAATAAAGTAATTTATTGCTTAGCATTGTAGTTTTGTTCCTAAAAAGTGTGACTTTAAATGAAACAACTTTAAAGCAATTAGATTTTCTCCTTACAACCAAGGTAAAATTTGTAGTTACGCTCTGTAGGTGATTTCACAGCAGAAAACAAACAAAAAATGTTATGCATTGCAAGTTGAAATATTGTCCATTCCTAAATTCCTATATTTGTATATGAAATAACTTCCAATATAACATACTTACTCTTCCTACTCGCCTCCCACTCATTGCCTCTCTCGTTAGCCAACTCTCTCTTTCTGGTTGCTTACCTCTCCCTTGTTCTGAGGGAGGGTTTAGCAGGGGGATGGCAAAGAAATTGAGGAGTTGTAACAAAAAGATCTGGGAAGGAAGTGGTGGGAAGTATCATCAGAGGAGGAAGCAGTGAGCAGAAAGTTTGAGAGATGGGGTACAGTAGAAAACTAGGGAGGAGGGGCCACACCAAAGTTACACCAATTGAGTTATATAACATACAGTGACCCCAGAAGCTAACAATCCTAAAGCTGAAATCCTGAGACTAAGTGTGCAATGTCATAAATGTGATGCCAATACAGACCAACATTGAATGTGCAATTTAACACAGGGACTATTTACTGTCAGAGGTTAAAAGCTCAGTTAATGAGCAAATAAAATTTGGTGTACGATTAGAAGTTTTCAGAGGCTGAAGGATGAGATGCCAGCCAGGACAGCACTGAAATAGTTGAAACAGGCGGTGACAGAAGTATGGATGAGGATTTCCACAGTGAATGGACTGAGCAATAAAAAAGTTACTTGATGGGCCAAATGGCCTCTTTCTATGCTGTACTATGATACAGGATGGAAGAAGACAGTCTTAGAAATATCACTCAAGATTAAAGAAGAAGTCAAGTTTACAAATGGTCTGGATCAACTGTGGATGGGGATGCAATTGGTGGAAAAGGCACAAATTTACGACAGAGCCTCAGAACATTGAGCTTTCCTTTCTCAATATTTTAGTGGACCAATTCCAGCTAATCCATGACTGATATAGGACTTGCAGCAAAACACAGACAACCGAGTGATCATGACACGTTGCAGACAGGTATAGCTACACATACAGGAACCAGTTTGGCACTTGCTTTGTCCTTATTGTCCCTGGATCAGGAAGGATAACAGAGGTTGGCCAGGGCTCATGCTACTGACCATTACCAACAATTATTGCTGCAAGTGTGCATGCGTGTGGTCTGTATATAGGTTGGGGTGGGGGGGTGGGAGTGTGGTTGCAGTGGGTGGGTGGACGCCAGAATTGGTTGGAATGACTGCCACGAGCAGATAACCCATCAAATTGACCATTCCAGGCTCAGCCAACTGAATTGGCACTTAGGTCAGGAAGTGGGGCTGCTGGCACCCATGGAATCACATCCCTAAACCCAAAGTGGCATAAAATGCCATATTATTCTGCTTATTTCTGCATTAATATTTTACTCATTGGAGTTATGATCAGGAAGTCCATGTGACAGGACAATTGGTGGTGTGGTAAACAGCAAGCAAGAAAACTTTAACCAATGGGACAGTGGCTCAGGGTTAGCACTGCTGCCTCATGGTGCAATCTCAGCCTTAGGAGACTGTGCAATCTCCACACAGACAGTCACCCCGTGTCTGTGCAAGTTTCCTCCAGGTGCTCAGGTTTCCACCCACAGTCCAAAGATGTGCAGCTTAGGTGGATTGGCCATGCTGAATTGCCACATAGTGTCCAGGGATGTGCAGGTTAGGTGGTGTAGTCATGGTAAGTGTGGGGTTATGGGGATAGATTGGAATGCTCTTTGGAGGACTGGTGAGACTCGATGGGCCAAATGGCCTCTTTCGACACTTCTCACAGGAGTTCTATAATAAGTGTAAATTAACCTTGTATAGTGTGGGGTGATGCATTTTGGGAGCACTAACAAGGCAAGGGAGAACACATTGAATGGAAAGACTCTAGCAAGTAGAGGATCAGATGCACTCTGGTGTGCGTGTCCGTAGATCCTTGAAGGCAGTAGGCCTTTATTAGTGAAGGCACTGGATACAACAGCAAGGAGGTTATGATGGAGATGCATATAATGTTAGTTAAGTCACAGGTGAAGTGCTGTGTACAGTTCTGACTGCTACACTACAGGAGGGGCGTGGCTGCACTGGAGAGAGTGCAGAGGAGATGTTGTGGGTTAGAGCAATTCAGCCATGAAGTGAAGCTAGATAGACGGAGGCTGTTTTCATTACAGCAGAGAAGGCTAATTCGGATGTACAATGTTATGAGGGGCACAGACAGGGTAGAGAGGGAGGGAAGCAGATACAATAACCAAAGGCTGAGCACCTGAAACGCCATAGCATACAGGCTACAGGCCAAGTACTGGAAAATGGAATCAGAATAGATGAATGTTTGATGATGGCATGGACTCTAAAGGGCAGAAAGGCCCTTTTCCATGCCATAAAAACTGTACGACTATGACTTCTCTTTTAGAAAAATGCCCAGCTTAGAGAGGTTTGTTCTTTTCTCTTGTTGGGTTTCCATTCTTCTTGTTTATCATATTCACCTTCATTGTTGATGCCTGAACAGTTAGGTTTTACTTGTCTTAATAATGCTGAACTGACCTTGAACTCGCTTATCATTCAATCTCGCTTGCCTGTTCCTTTTTCTGGATCTCCCTTTAATTCTCAGTTCCATCTTATCTTTGCCCTACCTCAGTGTTTGCCTAAGCCTATCATATCTCTATCTCCATTCTGTTGCAAGACAATTGACCTGAAAACTTGGACTGGATGTTCCTGCTGTCTTCATAACTCTAACATCCCAATGAGACGGTGCACCTGAGCCAGTTCTTGCCAGCAGCACAGCGACATCCTGGAGGTGCCTCCGAAAGTTGCATTAAGGTCAGCAAATAACATTGGAAGCTTAAGGTGTTTGGTGACTGAGAATGATTCAAAATAGAGGCACCATTGAAGGAGCCATAAATCTATTAGAATGGAGAAGCAGGCAGGCCCTAAAATTGAAGGCATAACCATTGTGAATGGCTCATAAGGGTCGAAGAGATTTCCCAATGGGCAATAGAGTCTCTGGAGGGAAGTCACCTCTCAGTGGAAGCCACTGCACAGTTTGATTTTGGCACAAGGGGGCTCCACTGCTAGCAGAATTACCTCATTGAGGCCTCCATTATGTAAATGGAGTGATGACCTCCGCAATCAGTCAGTTAATCTGCTTGTCAGTCTGTCCATGGGAATGTTTAGCGGTGGCCAGAATGTGCCATTGAGCCGCTTGCATGGATCCTCACTATTTTCCTGGTTGACACCACCACCCATCAAACCTCCAAACTCATGTCAAAAAATGCAGCATCCTGGGACCATGAAAGTTCACCTTGTTAGCTCTGGTTTTCTCACTACAGATACCGCCTGACCTGCTACATAACCAACATTTTCTGTCATATTATTCTGTTGATCTGTTCAAGTGATTATAGATACCTGTGGCAGAATTGGACAAGATGGAAAAAGAACAAACGTGTTGAGAGGAATTTCCAGTTGGCCGTGGTAACAGAGTTCGCTGTAAAAAGATTAGAAAAAGAAGAATGCTTCACTCAGCAAGAAACAAAACAAAAACTTCAATTTGAATAGAATGGCATTTAATATTTATATTAAATCTATATTTTGTTCTTTCTTAAAAGAAAATATGCATAGAACAAAAACATTAAACAGTATCAACTAGCTGAGGAAAGTTAATTGATAAATATTTGGTAGAGTAAAATCAATTTTAAACTTCTCCTTCCTTTGGGATTGGAATTCACATTTCTACAGCTCAAATTTTCCCAAGTAAAACATACCAAACCGGGGGAAGAATACACATAAATCCAACAAATGCAATTCTGAGCATGGAACATACGAAGAGGAGTAAATCATTCAGCCCTCAAGTCTATTCTGCCATTCAACGAGATCATGACTAATCTATGGCCAACTCCATATACCTGCATCTGACTCATATCCCTTAATACCTTTGCTTAACAAAAATTTATCTCAGATCTAAAATTAACCATTGATCTAGCATCAACTGCCATTTGTGGAAGAGAATTCCAAACGTCTACCACCCTGTGTGTGTAGGAATACTTCCTAACATTTCTCATGAACGGTCTGGTCGTAATTTTTAAGATTATGCCCCCTAATTTTAGAATTTCCAACCTCTGGAAATAATATCTTTATCTACCCTGTCTTTTCCTGTTGATATCTTGAAGACTTCGCTTAGACTACCCCTAGATCTTCTAAAATCTACCTCCCATTCATGTCCTTTCCTTTCATCCAATTTTCCATTTTTTTCAAACCTTACTCGCATTCCTTGCCCACAGACCCACTGTAACCAAAAAGCAGACAAACTGGTCTTTAAGCTCCAGCTCACTGAGCACATCAGCCAACTGCAAACACAGGTTGTGGGATTCTTCCTTTTTCTAAGGAAGCACATAACTTCCATTTTGCAACTAATTGCTGTGACACTGAAAACAACAACTCAACAGAATGAGCACTGAACCAAAATCCCATTTATTCTCAGTACCTATTTAAGATGGTTCTACATGCATATGCCGTTTCAGTAAACTAGGAGCATAGAAGATGGTCTTGCCTCATCTTCTACTTCAATCTCAGCAATTTTAATTAAAATCTTGCATGTAGTATATAATTTTAAAACACCCCATAGTACATCTGACAGTAGTTATTTTCCTATACAAATACAAGATCATAAGACATTAGAAGAAGGCCATTCGCTTATTGAGGCTGCACCGCCACTCAATGAGATCATGGCTGAGCTGATAACCCTGAACTCCACTTTCCTGCCTTAATCACATAACCTTCAATTCTCTTTCTGATTAAAACTCTTTCTTAGCCGCAAATATACTTAATGGCCCACCCTCAACATCCTTCTACAGTAAAGAATTCTACAGATTCACTACCCTCAGAAAAATTCTTCTCCAACTGTTTTAAATGAGCAACCCTTACTTTGAGATTATGCTCTCTGGTCCTAGATTCTCCCACAAGAAGAAATAACTTCTCCACATCTATGCTGTCTAGCCCCTTAAGAATCTCGTATGTTTCAATAAGATCTCCTCTCATTCTTCTAAACTGAATACAAACCCAACCTCTCCACAAAAAAAAAACCTCCCTCCATGTCCGGAATCAACCTAGTGAACTTTCTCTGGACCGTCTCCAAAGACAGTATATTTCTCCCTTTAGCTGAGGGGGCTAAAACTGTTCACAGTATTGACCAGTGCCTTGGATAGTTTTACAAGGCAATCCTATTTTAATACTCCATTCCCTTTGAAACAATGGGCAACAGTCCATTTGCTTTCCCTATTACCCACGGAACTTGGACAGTGATGGCAGTTAATGTAGCAGCTGTTACTCAGCACTAATATTCAAACACAAGGCAATGAGATGAGCTGCTAATTTGGTACTACTAGTACCAAATAGGCCAGCACACTGGCAGACAGCTCTTCCTCTATACTGTGATTGATGATTATTCAAATAATTTATTTGACCTCAAAGCAAGAATCCTACTAGCTAAATCAAGATGACACAAAACATTTGATGTGATACAAGTACAGACTTGTAGCCCAAGTCCCTATTTATAACAGTTAGAAATATAAATCGTCGTATTTATTGCCATAATATGCAAAATGGAATGGAAACAATACACATTTGCACAGAATACATATATCAATTTGGACAACAACACTGAACAATATCCCAAATGATTACATTCATTATACACGTGTGCCGAAAAAGAACGCAAGGGTTCAGAAGTTTAGTTCACAAACACATTTAAACAATATTTACCTGAACTACTAGCGGTTTGCGTGGGCGATTATTTCGTAGCTTCCTTTGCTTGGGTAGGTAAATGTCTGGCGGCCTCTGAAATAGTAACAGATGTGATCAGAGGACCCAGATTCCCAGGCCTACTGATGGGCACCACACTCACTAATAAACCATCTGATTAAGGTTTTCTAAATGCATTGAAAACTAGCTCAAGGCAATGCAGGCCATTGTTGGGGCTAGGTTTGTGAAAATTTAATTTTATTCAGCTCTTAAATCGGTTTTATGGTTAGTTCTAGGAGCAACAGTTGACACAGGAATGAATTTTGGCCTCTTGTATTTTAGCAACTTTCAGAGATTGACATTACGATACAAAGAATAATATGCAATAATATAGTATCTTCTGTTCAAGATGAGTCAAAACATTTTACAAGCATTGAATTAGTTTGGAAATGTAGTTATGTAGGTTAAGTGTACTAAATTCCAGTTTGCACAGGAAAGGATCCCACAATGACAGCAACAAGATAAATGACCAGTTGGGTGAAAATGTTTGCGCCCCTAAATAATTAACTACAATTTGTTTGTAATGTTAGCTGATCACCAAGCAAAATTAGGATAAACAATCCATGAAGCAGGATTTATTTTCAGCATTGACCTCACCATTCATGCACAAATCGTATCAAGAAATCATACATGCTAACGCAAAACGTTTTCAATCCACACATGTAGGAAACATATAGTGAAATTATTTCAACTATACAAAATTGAGGCAGGTGCAATCTAATAGAAATTGTGTCCAAAGTTTTTGAGAAGGGTAACGATGACAAATTCTTATCAATTACTCTGGATATTTCTTCACTCAGATCAAATCTTTCTTTTTAATTCCTTATCAAAAAGAAAGAAAACTTTTCCAAGTCATGGACAAAGAGTAGCACGAAGAGTTTCATGTGTCAAATGGCAACCCTTTAGAGTGAAATTAGAGTGAACGGATTCTAAATAAAAGTTAGTTTGATGTAGTGCACTGCTTCAAAAAGAAAATCAAAACCTTGTTAACCTCATGTCATACTGTTTGCAATAATGGATATATTTATGCAAATAAGGAGACAAGTAGGCCACTCAACTGCTCAAATCATTCAACGAGACCATTGCTGATATGATTACTCCACACTTGCCTTCACTCTTGATAACCTTTCACTTCCTTGTTCATTAAGAATCTGCCTACCTCTATCTTACAAGCATTCAAAAGATTTTGCTTCCAACACCTCCAGTTGAGAGAGTTCAAAGGTCTTCCAAATCTTTGAGAAAATGTTTGTTCCTATTTGTGTTAGATGACTGGCCCCTTATGTTTCAACAATGACCCCTAATTCAAGACTTTAGCACAAAAGGAAATATTTTTCCCACATCAAGGCCACTTAAGATTTTACATGTTTCAATCATGTCACCTTTTGGTCTTCCAAACACCAGCAGATACAAGCCTAGCCTATCCAACATTTCCTCTTAAGCCAACCCACTCATTATGGGTATTTTCTGAATTATATGTAATGTATTTACATCCCTTCTTCGATAAGGTAACCAATACTATACACAGTACTCCAGATATGGCCTGACAAATGCACTGTGTAACTAAAGCATAACCTCCCTACTCTCATACTCAGTTCCCCTTGCAATATGAAACAGCATTCTACTAGCTTTCCTAATTACTTACTACACCAGCATATTAATCTATTTGATCAACATCAAGGTGGTATTTCAGAAAACAGTATTCAGGTTACTGTTAAAACAGTAGAAGCTTAAGTTAATTTCCTTTTTTTTTGCATTTTGTTATACACAAAGGGACTGAAGTTGAGGTTAAAGTCGATGCTTCTCACTGTTAGGGAAAGGAACTATTTCACACTTGTAGCACCAAATCAGCTGTCATGCTGCAGGAAAGAATAAATATGAACAAACAGAATTAAGCTCCCATCCTTAGCTCCAACATTAAGAAGAATACTTAACATTTATGATATGTGATCAAATTTACATTTAATGGTTACTGAAGTAATTATTTAACACTACAGGTTTAGCAGAATGATTAACAGTACCACTTGTTGGCACAAAGTTATTAATTGATTGTTTTAAATTACTAACTAGGTGACCAAAAAAATTAAAACTTAAATAGTCTTGCTATTATTGTGCTGCTATTAGACGCCTGCAATACCACAACTATGAAAGTTCCAATCATTGACCATCAATAACAATACAATTAAATCAGAATCAGAGACAACAAGATAAAATAACCAACACAGTCCAACTTAACTTATTAACTGAGCAATTCTTCAGATTTCAGAATAATTAGAACTAGCAAATAGGGTGCTGTACAAGAATTCTATTATTGTTGTTTGTAGTTTCAATTATTTTTCTTTACCTTTTCATAGATGTGGGCATTGTTAACAAGGCCAACATTTGCTGACCACCCCTAATTGCCTTTGAAATGAGTGACAAGACAGGGTATTTCTGAGAACAACAGTTAAGAGCCAACTACACTGCTGAGAATCTGGAGTCACATGGACACCAGACCAGACAAGGTGTTTAATGAACCTGATGGGTTTTACAACCATCAATGACAGTTCTCATGATCACCACTTTGGAGTCTAGCTTTACATTCCAGGTTTAGTAACTAAATCTAAATTGAACTGAAGTTTTTAGAGCATTAGCCTGGGTCTCTGATAATCCAGAGACATTACTACAGTGTCCCCAAATTAGCAGCAATCTGTAGAATAATGTGCCTTCATTTTAGCTGTGTTTTTAAGCTATTCTTGGCATATGAGAATCACCAGCAATGCCAGCATTTTTCAACTAATCCACTACCTGATTGCCCTTGAGAAGTTAGTGACGCGCCATCTTCTTGAACCACTACACTCCACCGGTGTAGGTAAAGGGATAGTGCTGTTAGGGAGGGAATTCCAAGATTTTGACTCAAACTAGCAAATTATTGCATTCCCATCTTTTAATATACATTGTTATTATCATCAACCATAGTAAAAGGCACACTCGCTCTTTTCTCCAGTCACATTTACAGAAAGAAATTTCAACTCACGCTGAAAGAATCCAGTCGCTGCCTGAATGTCAAGTCAGTCTCTTTGCTGGGTGAATATATCTTGTTATGCCTACTGTTGGGCGGCAGAATTGTAGGAACAGCAAAAACCCCACTGTCTGCATCACTGCTTGAACTTCCTGAGCTACCAGATGAACATGGCACCACCAATGTCTTCTGTACATTACGCATTCCTGAAAATAATAAAATTATTCAATATTTCATATATAAATAAATTTTAGTTCTCATCTGACATCCAAATATACATTTTCTGCTTAGTGTTCAGTTAAGCTGCGTGCTTTCAGCACTTGCTAAGCTGTTAGCCTGTTGATAGGAAAACATCAAATGCTGGAAATACTCAGCAGGTTGGGCAGTATCTGTGGAGAGAAGTGCAGTTAACATATCAAATCATGATGAACTTTCAGATTATCTTGATCCGAAATCATGTGGAGGAAGACTGTGTAATTTTGCCAATTCAAAAGAACTCAATAATAAATATCTGCATTGGGGAAGCCATGGCATGGAGGTGGCTGATGTTGGACTAGGGTGAACAAGGTGATGGAGAGGCTATGCTCCGAAAGCTTGTACTTTCAAATAAACCTGCTGGACTATAACCTGGTGTTGTGTGATTTCTGACCTTGCATCAGGGAACAAAGGCACAATTGCTGACCTAATTTGGCTCCCAACACCCTCAATTCAAAATCCTCATAGTTATGTTTAAACCACTTCAGGACTCGTCTCTGTATCCTCATCCAGCCCTATAACTTCCAGTTCTTCATCCAAACTTTGTGCATCTGACTCTGACATTTTACGTATTTCTTCTTTCACAACACACTGTCAGCCAATTCACGAGCTACCCGGACTTCCCTGGTCTGAAATTTAAGCACTGCCATCCCCACCCCCATCTCATATACCTCCTTGCCTTCTTTAACACACTGCTTAAAACCAAACTGTTTGACAAAGCTTTTGTTTGGTTTTCCTAATATCTTTCTTTCTGCAGATGCATCCTTTTTTGATTTTACTTTGGTATAATGGCTCTAAGCCAATAAAGGTGGCTGTGAAAAGCCAAGAATTGAGCAATTTTCATGGGATACAAAAAAACCAAAGTCTTTGGACAAGGTTTACAATTTTATTGCTCTCAGAGAATGTTTAAAGTCAGTAGTTGGAGATTGGATCATTTCTGTTAGGATCAGGAATTGGTGGACAAAATAATTTGGTTAATCGCTATTTATAGCAATGTCATTAACATTCCTAAAATTCTGACCAGCAACTGTGGCAAAACTATCAACATTATCAGAACAAAACAGTGCTTAAAATTTTACTCTAAATAACAATTAAGGAACTAAATTTCTGTCTGTTTTCCCTTCCATGTTCCAGGGATGTGGAGGTCAATTGTGGCCTGCTGCCACTGAACTCAACTAGTCTCACAGATTGGGGAATGGAACTGCAATCTACATGCAAGAATATTTCAGGAACTTATTGGGTAAAACCACAGAGACATCAAGACATTCTTTGCAAAACTTTAATTAATATCAAGTCTGTCAAATGGTAGGTAGATTTTTCTAAAATATCTTGACAGAACTGCAAGACAGCAAGAAAGAGTCAGCATACTGTAAAATCTTCTCAGAAGTGAGAGTGCCCCAGCCCTACAAAATACTCAATTTTTGGAAGATATAACATACAACGGTTGTGATCAGAAAATTTCGAGATGGACACCATGGACTGTGGTGATTCAAATGACTAAATAAGCAACTTTTGTTTTTAACAGACATGCATTTTAAAAATTTAAAGTGCTTCCAAAAGCTAAATCATTATTGGCAAGGCTCAGATTAGTTGCCTATCCACATATTGCCTTTTCTTGGTTTCCTTTGAGAAAATAGCACTAGTTGGCCTTCTTGAGCTACTGCAGCGTACAAGATCAAGATGCTCCCACAGTGCTGACGTATGTCCAAGTCAAAATGCTGTGGGACTTCAAAAGGAGCTTTACGCTGATGGTGTTTCCATATGCCTGCTGCTCGTCCTTTTAGATCAAGACTGCATGTTTGGAATGCATCACTAAAGAAACTGTGCCAAGTTGTTTAGTGCATTCCAGAGAAGACACACACTGTAGTTATGGTGAGCATGTAGTGAAACAACTGAACATATAGCCTAGTAGACTGCATGTCGAGGATGGGGCGGCTGCTTTCTCCAGATTATTGTCAAGCATCTTACGTGTCGCTGCAGATGTAAAAACATTCCAATACACTCCTGACTTATTTTTTGTAGGTGTTAGGGAAGTCCGAGGGAGTCATATGGTGAGCTCCTCGTTCTAAATATCCATCCTTTGGCCTGCTCTGACATTCACAATGCTGTTCCACTACTATTTCTGGTCCATGGTGACTCCCAGGAAATTGATTATGAGGGACATGTTGATGGTAATGCCATTAAATGTTATTCATCAACTCAAGGCTGGACAATGACTCAGTCTTTGCTCTACGTGGACATGGTATGCTTCATTATCTGAAAAAATTGTGAACAGAGCTAAATATTCTGTAATTAAATGCGAATAGTTCCATTTCACACATTATGATGGAGGGAAGGGATGAAGCAGCACAAAGACTGTTGAGCCTAGGGCACTGTCTTGAGATGATTGGCATCTGACAATCACAAACATGGTGTAAGCTATGACCCCCAGCACTGGATAGATTTCACTGCAATTCAAATTAACTTCAGGTTTGCTTGGGTTTATCGCTTTCACATGCTTTAAAATGTTGACGATGTTGAGAGCAGTCACTCTCACCACGTCTCTGAAATTCACCTGGCAGCCAGGTTTGGACCAATGGGACAACCAGGCCTGGAGCCCAGCAGTTCCTGCTGAACTCAAATGGAATATTGTGAAATTGGTTACTAGCCAGAAAATGCCACTTTGCTGATAATGATAATTGGGATAATTGTATTTCATTTGACAGACAGCACATTCCTTAGCTATTTT